TCAAAAGAGCATGAGATGCTTTGAAAAATTCTTACTAAAATCATGATGGAATTAAAAAAAATCTGTTTAGATACTTGAAAATCTGCTTAAACTCTGGGATTTCCTTCCTTGTTCAACTGTCTTTTTTTTTTTGGCAGGGTTAGGGATTTGCTGGGGTTTGAACTCAGGGCCTACAGCTTGAGACACTCCACTAGCCCTTTTTTTGTGATTTTTTTTTTCAAGACAGAGTCTTGCAACCTATTTGCCCAGACTGGCTTTGAATGTGATCGCCCAGCTTTCTTGCTCAACTCTTGAGTTCATATGTATTTCTCTGCTCACTAAAATCTTGAAAGGACTCAGATGCTACCAACTCCCAGACAAACTTACTTGCAGACTGTTCTCCCACTCTTGGAAAGCGAATGGTGTCCCCTAAGTTCAGATTTCAATAATGTAGAGCCAAGGACTCTGGTAGCAGCTCTGCTTCCCTCTCTGTCTCAGTTCCTGAAGCCTTGGGGTTCAGCCTGGGGGCCCTGGTCCCTCTCTGTCTCAGTACCTGAAGCCTTGGGGTTCAGCCTGGGGGCCCTGGTCCCTGTGGGGCAAGGCTGCAGCCTTGTTTGTGGGAAGAGGACAAGGACCTCAGGGAATGAGACAAGTGGCTGGGGACAGCTGAATCAGATGCCAGAGACCTAAGAAAGACCTCGCCAGGGTCCCAAGAAAGCAGGAGAGAGGGAGGAGAGGGTAGTGTTGTACAGGAAACTCCTTTCTTTTTAAAAAAAAAAAACCCATTTTATTAGCATATATTAGTTGTACAGGGAGTATCATTGTGACATTTCCATATATGCTACAGGGTACTTTAGTTAGGTTCATTCCTACCATCATTCTCCCCCATCACCCTCCCCCTACTTAAAAATGATTTCAATGTTCTATTTTTAAACAAGTATATAAAGTACATAGATCATATTCACCCACATTTATCCTCTCTGTTTCCCCTCCCCCTCCCACTGGTACCCTCCCTCTAACAGGACCTGTTTTACATTTCTGTCCTTCATTATTTAAGTGTATCTTCATTGTTCAAAAGGGTTTCACCATGGTATTTTACCAGTGAGGATATTGTACTTTAATAGTCTGACTGATTATTACTCCTGCTTAGCTTTCCCACCTATCCCCTATTATTTAACATAGGAAACTCCTTTTGATCTGCAGACAGGGATATGGACCTTGGTTTTTTTCTCTATTTATTTATTTATTCATATGTGAATACATTGTTTGGGTCATTTCTTCCCCCTGCCCCCGCTCCCTCCCTCCCCCACCCCTCACTTCCAGGCAGAACCTGTTCTGCCCTTTTCTCCAATTTTGTTGAAGAGAAGACATAAGCAATAATAAGAAAGACAAAGCGTTTTTGCTAGTTGAGATAAGGATAGCTATACAGAGAGATTTCTAGCATTGCTTCCATGCACAAGTGTATTACAACCCGAATTGAGTCATCTCTACCTGATCTCTTCACTACTTCCTGGTCACCTTCCCATATTGACCTCTGTCGCTTTAAAGTTTCTGTGTTAGTTCCTCTGGAGTGGGGACATCAAATGCTTTCATATTTTGGGTTTTCTACCTATTCCTGTATCTCCTGTAGGTGCTCTACCCTTGTCTTGTGATCCAAGTCCAACCACATTGCTGCATTTGCCCTAGATCTAACGTCCACATATGAGGGAGAACATATGACATTTTCTTAATCCATTAGTCAGTAGTGGCTAATAGTAGTGGCTGTTTCCATAACTTGGCTATTGTGAATAGCGCTGCAATAAACATGGGTGTGCAGGTGCCTCTGGAGTACCTAAGTCGCATTCCTTTGGGTATATCCCTAGAAGTGGGATTGCTGGATCATATGACAGATCTATGTTTATTTTTTTAAGAAGCCTCCATATTGTTTTCCAGAGAGGTTGCACTAGCTTGCATTCCCACCAGCAGTGTACGAGGGTTCCTTTTTTCCCACGTCCTCACCAACACCTGTTGGTGGTGGTGTTTTTGATGATAGCTATTCTAACAGGGGTGAGGTGGGATCTTAGTGTGGTTTTGATTTGCATTTCCTTTATGGGCAGAGATAGTGAGCATTTTTTCATGTGTTTTCTGTCCATTTGAATTTCTTTTTTTGAAAAAGTTCTGTTTAGTTCAGTTGCCCATTTCTTTATTGGTTCATTGATTTAGGAGAGTTTAGTTTTTTGAGCTCCCAGTATATTCTGGTTATCAGTCCTTTGTCTGATGTATAGCTGGCAAATGTTTTCTCCCTCTCTGTGGGTGGTCTCTTCAGTTTAGAGACCATTTCTTTAGTTGTGCAGAAGCTTTTTAATTTTATGTAGTCCCATTTTGGACCATGGTTTTGTCTGAACACTCCAGAGGACTCAAATGTGTATAGAACAGGTATCATTTTGATGACAACTTCTGGGGGCAAGGACAAGGAAGGATAGTTAGGATTAGATAGTTGGGCACTAAATCAAGGGGTTCTCAGGTAAGAGGTCTGTAGTGAGCTGTGAGGGCTTCAGTTCAGTTCTGAGAAACTTTGGGAGGACATTTGTGTGCCTAACCTGGGCCTCAGGTGGGCACTGGACATAGAGGGGATGAGGCGCCAGAGATACTCTGGAAAGTACTCAAATTCCTGACACTTGATTATGACAGGCCTGTGCCTTGTTCAAGTCCTGGTCTGCTGGAAATGTGTTCAAAGGGTGATGTGTACTTTGAAGTAAGATGAGGCTGAGAACTAGAAGTGACAATTTACCAAATCAGTATTTGGTCTTATAACTCTCCAGGAATGCTAGCTAGGGCAGAAACCCTCAAAGTCCTGGAACTGCTTCCCTTCCATTCAGGGACTCCATAGACTTATACATTGGGATGGGGCTGTGGGTACCCTCACAAATGGAGTTGGTTGAGTGAGGATGTGTGGCTGACCATCCAAAGGTGGAAATGCTTTGAGATGCTCTTCTACTGACATCTTGCTTCGCAGAGCTGGTAACTGAGGCCAAGAGTGGAGAAATGATAGTGCTACCTTGAGGGGTAAATTTACATCGTAGGACAATTATCAATGTTGAGATATTTCTGGTTGCCACACTGTGGTGGGGGGAGAGAGGTGTGCTGCTGGTGTTTCATGGGTAGAGACCAGGGACACTGCTAAACATCCTAGAGCTCACTAGGACAGCACCCACTTCAAAGCACTATCAGGTTCCAAATGCAATAGTGCCAACACTGAGCAGTCTAGTGCCAGTGCTGGAACTTGACCTTTTTTTAGGTCCTCTGCGAGGACCTAAATGCCAACCCAGATAAAACTGAGTCAAACATTTATTAAGAAATTATTTTTTTTCCAGGCACTTCACTAAGTGTTTTCTCCCCTGAGGATAACTACAGATTGAGTGTCATCCCTTATGTACAATGCTTGGGATCAGAAGTATTTAGGATTTTTTTGATTTTGTAATATTGGCATTATATACATGTATCTATCTATAGCTATGTATGTATCTATCGTCTATATTTACATATCTATGTTTCTATGTATCTATGAATCTCTGTATCTACCTCTGTATGTATGTATGTTATCTATTTAGCACCTATATGATATTTTGGCATGGAACGCAAGTCTAAGCACAAAACTCACTTCTACTTCACACATACACCTTATATACATAGGCTGAAGATAATTTGATGTGATATCTTTGGTGCACCTGTGTTTCTTTTATTGTACAAAATAATGGGTGTCATTATGACAGTTCCACATGTGTATACATTGTACTTTGAGTCTATTCATCCTAATACCATCCCTTGTCCTTTCTCCCCATCCTTGGATCCCTCCCCCCAAAAGTAATCCCTCATTTAGGTTAATATTTTTTATTTGTTTGCTTGTATTTATGGATCTAGATTTTGCATATTTGTCTTTCAGAATCTGGTTTATTTTGCTTGATATCTTGACGTCCAGTTCTGTCCATTTGCCTGACATGACATAATTTCATCCTTTCTTATACTGAATAATATTCTACTGTGTATATATACCACATTTTCTTTATCCATTCATCTGTTGATGGGAACCTATATTGATTCCATAACTTGGTCATTGTACCTATGTTTTGACTGCATCTTTCTCACATAACATCAGGTACAGATTTTTCCTCTTGTAATATCATGTTGACTCTCAAAAAGTTTCAGTTTTTGAGCCTGGCACCATTGGCTCATGCCTGTAATTCTAGCTACTTGGGAGGCTGAGATTGGGAGGGTCACAGTTTGAGGCCCGCTTGGGCAAATAGTTTTTGAGACCCCATCTCCAAAATAACCAGATCAAAAATGGACTGGAGGTGTGGCTTAAGTGGTAGAGCTGCTGCTTTGCAAGTGCAAAGCCCTGAGTTCAAACTCCAGTCCCACCAAAAAAAAAAAAGTTTCAGATTTTGGAGCATGTCAGATTTTGGATTAGGATGTTCACCTATAGTGCTTTTTGTTTTTGAGGTGGAACCTTGCTATGTGGTCCAGGATGACCTTGAACTTGTGGTCCTCCTGCCTCCATCTTCTGAGTGCTAGGATTACAGGTTTGCACCACCATGCCTGGCTGTGATTTTGTTTTATGATTATCTTGTATTTCAAAATGGAAAACAGATTTTCTTGACATATATTCACCTTTTCTTCCTCCCTTCCTCCCTCTCTCCCTTCCTCCTTCCCTCCCTCCTTCCCTCCCTCCCTCCTCCTTCTCCTCCTCCTTCCTCTCTCTCTCTGTCTTGGCAGGCATTCTACACTTTAGCTATGCTTTAGGCTGGCCTAAAATGATCTTAAAGACATTTGCTTTGGGTATTTCATTGTAATTGTGCAAACCTGACTCATAAATACTTGGTCATTTGAGCTTCAGAGAGAAGCATAAAGGCTTTCTCCCCAGATCCTTGGGGTAGTAGTGACAAGGAGGCCTGGAGCTCCCTCTAAAGGACAGTATACCTTTATACTGTATACACTATAAAAGTGTATACCTGTACCAATCATTGTTTCTGCTCCAAGGCAGGATGTGTGGCAGGTTCCTGTGCCAGCTGTTGGCTGAGGGGAGCCAGCATTCCACCCCTGTGGGGCGTCTCCTGCTTCCTGTGCTCCTGGGATTCCGACTTGTGCTGCTAGCTGCCAATGGGCCTGGAGTCTATAGCGATGATCAGAGTGAATTCGTGTGTCACACCCAGCAGACAGGCTGCAAGGCTGCCTGTTATGATGCCTTCCACCCTCTCTCTCCACTGCGCTTCTGGGCCTTCCAAGTCATCCTGATGGCTGTACCCAGTGCCTTCTATGTGGGTTTCACCTTGTATCATGTGACTGGGCACTGGGAAGAATCAGAGAAGGTGAAGAAGGAGGAAGGAATCCATAAGGTGGAAAGCAGCAGGGGTGTCTCAGGGTCTGGAAGCCGCCAGCTGCTCTGGGCCTATGTGGCACAGCTGGGGGCTCGGTTGGTCCTTGAGGGAGCATCTCTGGGGGTGCAGTACCATCTTTATGGGTTTGAGATGCCCAGCTCCTTTGTATGTCGCCGAGAGCCTTGTCTTGGTAGTACTACCTGCACTCTTTCCCGCCCTGCTGAGAAGTCCATCTTCCTGAAGACCATGTTTGCGGTCAGTGGACTCTGTCTCTTGTTTACTTTTTTGGAGCTTGTGCTTCTGGGTTTGTGGAGATGGTGGAGGACCCAAAAGCACAAATCTTCCTCTTCTAACTACTTCCCAACTCCAGAGAGCACCTCAAGACACAAGGAACTAACTGATAAGCTCCCACGAATGGAAACTAAAGAGCAGTTTCGAGAAGCAGGTAAGAAGGACCCTAGAGACCCTCTCCATGCCCCCTGGCGTCTCTGTTCTGATGATCTCTACTCAGGCCAGGACCTTCATCCTCTTGGATGCACAAATTCCACACGTTACAAAGTAGATAACCGGTTTCCAGGCAGATATGTTCTGACCACTGCCTTCAACCCATCTTCCAATACTCATCTCCATCAATTGGATGGTTCCTTCCAGTGAATCAAGATGAAAGTGCCAGTTCGTTGGCTTGCCTAATCTTACTCCATTTAGGTCTTTCCTCACTTAGACCTTGCTTGATCTTTTCTTTTGCAGAGATATAAAGAGACCTGGACCTCTTGAAGGAAACACTATGATTGGGACTTCTTTGAAACATCCAGGGAATGGGGACCCATTTCCAGAACAAATTAGAGGCTGTTGAAGGATATCTAAAAGCCATGGTAGGCCATGCTGATGAAAGCATTACCTTGAAGAATTCCTGATTGTGCCTTCTCACCACAATTATCAAGTGTCAACTTCACAATTTTCATGAGCTTGGTTCAAGAGGCAACCAGCAGAAGCCTCCCTAAACCATGCCTCTCTCTTGCCATGCTCAATAAATATTGATGACTGATATTGGCATTCCTGTTGCTATAACCATGCTCTTTCCTGTCTCAGTTACTCCATTTACCTCTTTTCTGTTCCATATTCTCTTATCCCCTCAGCTTCAAAGTTGTATTGTCTGTGAATGCTATCCAGCCCACAGAGTGTGTCATAGGTAGAAACTTTTAATCTTCCAAGTATATGTAGAACACAAAGTCCCTTAATAGTAAGATGAGATTTACTTAATTACACAACCCCATTCTTGGGAAAATTACTGTGAATTCAGAGGCATATGTCCCCTTGACTTTTGGTAGCTTTGATTTCTGCTCAGTTCTCACTCCTCACTTGGGGCACTGCTTGTGTCCGGTTGTCTCTGGTACAGTATCAACTCAACTTGGAGGACCAAGTCCCTGTTTTTTAAACTCTCAACACTGCACAGCAACAGCAAGAGATTTGGGAGTTAACAGCAAGGGAGGTTTGCATTACAATGTGATTCGGCAGATAATTTAAATATGTTGGGATTCAGTTATTTCTGTAGGAGCATATTCCATCCTCCCACTTTTTTCAGAACCCTCTCTTTCTCCATAGTTATTTCTTGCCCACAAAGCCTCAATGAAGACCAATTACTTGGTTTCTTTTTTTTCCTGGAACTCTAAGTTACCCCCAAGTAAGTTAGGAAGTCTCATTACCAAGGAAAGTCATTTGATTCCCCAATAGAAAATTTGGCAACAATTAGGAACAACAACTTTTTTCCTGTTACAGAAATGTTTCATAAGAATCCCTTATTGGTGTAGCAGAGCCCAGCCAAAGTGATCAAGGAGAAAAACAAAGGCCATCATTTTATCATTATTCATTGTTTTTTATTTTTCCTGGTAGTTGAATTCAGGGCCCTGTGTTTGCTAACAGGCACGCTACCTCTTGAGCCATGTCCCCAGACCTTTTTGTTTCAGGTGTTTTACAAACAGGTCTTGCCTTTGTGTCTATGTTGGCCTGGTCTGTGGGCCTCCTATTTATGTTTCCCATGTAGCTGGGATGACAGGGCCAGCACACACAGCTTTTATTGGTTGAGATGGGGTTTCATGAACTTTTTTGCTTGGCTTGGCCTTAAACCACAATCCTCCTGATCTCTGCTTCCCAAGTAGCTAATAGTACAAGCATAAGCCACCAAACCTGGCTCCATCATTTTTATTATTAATTCTTATTCCACTCCTTATAAAATAGCTTCATTGAGATACAATCCACATATCCTATTATTTACCTCTTTAAAGTATACAATTAAATGGATTTCAGGATTTCACAGGTTTGTACCCATCAACACAATTTCAAAACATTTTCCTTACCTCAAAAAGAAAAATAGAGGGGATGAAATAATTTGGTTATAATACATGTGTACATGGAAATGTCACAATGAAACCCCCTGTACAGCTATCTTAAACAAAAATGTCATGTTTTATTTTTACAAAAACAGAGAACAGAAAGGCAAAATAGGTCCTGTCTGGGGACTGGCACCAAAGGGAGGGTATAAGGAAAGGGTATAGGAGGGTGAATATGGTGGGAATATTATGTACTTATGTATGAAAATGGAAAAATGAGACCTGTTGAAACTGTTCCAGGAATGGGGGGAGGGGGGATAAAGAAGAATGATGAGGAGGTAAATTCAACATGATATATTGTGAGAACTTTTGTGAATGTTACAATGTACCCCCAGCACAATAATAACAGAAAAAGGAAAAAAGAAAAAAAGAAACTAATATGGGTTTAAAGGTTGAAAAATGTAAATGGAAATGAATGGAAACTTTTCTGCCCAAATTTGTTTAATATAAAGTCTGCTGAAAATATCAGAAGTGGAGGTAATTGATCCCACTACCATGAGGTACTGGTAAACACCTTAAGGAGCTCAACTTGTTGTAAACAACAAAATACAATGAATGTTACATTTACATAAGGCCAAATATAAGATGCATTGTTTTATATACAATAACCAAGCCTAACCAAACCAAAACAAATGAAAATAAAACAAAAACTCCTAAACCCTAAACGGTTTAGCTGTTATTTTCAACTCTTCATCTCCCTTAAACACAAGCAATCCCAATCTACTTTCTATCCCTGTGGATTTTTTACACTGGGCTGTTTTTTTCAGTAGTGGGGGTTGACTTCAGGGCTTCGTGCTTGCTAGGCAGGGCTCTATCACTTGAACCACACCTTCAGCCCGTACTCAGGACTTTTTGTATGGATGGAATCATATACTATGTGATCTTTTCAGTCTGGATTCTTTCACTTAGCAGAATGTTCACTCACGTTGTGACACATATCAGCACTCTTCCTTTATGTGGTTGCATATTATTCCTTTGTAAGAAGGCACCACGTTTTGTTTATTTGGAAATTTGTGCTTTTTCAAGTTATGAACACAGCTGCTATATATTCATGTATACATATGTTTTCAGCTCTCTTGAGTAAATACTTAGGAGTTGCATTGCTGGGGCAGGTGGTAACTCTTGGTTTGACTTTTTAAGAAACTGTCAAACTGACTTCCATGGCAGCTGTATTATTTTTACATTCCTACCAGCAGTATGTGAAAGTTCCAACTTAGCCACATTCTTGCCAACTCTTGTTATTGTGTGTGTTTACATTCTAGCCATCCTAGCAGATGTAAGTGGTATTTCATTGTGGTTTTGTCAGCCTCTTTCTATGTGCTTATTGGCCACTTATACACCTTCTTTGGAGAATAACCCATTTAAATCCTTTACTAATTAAAAAAATTAGGTCATTTGTGTTTGTGCTGTTGCACTGTAAGAGCTCTTTATATATTATGAATATTAAATACATATCAGATAAATTGTTTCCAAATATTCTCTCCTACCCTGTGGGTTATCTTTCACCTTCTTCATAGTATTCTTTGACTCATGAGTTTTAAAAATTTTTGATGAAGTCCAATTTATTTAATTTTTCTTTTTTGTTTGTGATTTTTGTGTCATAACTAAGAAGACATTGTTAAATCCATGAAGATTTATACCTATGTTTCCATCTAGGAATTTTATAGTTTTAACTTTTGCAGTTTTTTTCTTTTTGAGACAGCATCTTGCTATGTAGCCAGGCTGGCTTCAAACTCACTGTCCTTCTGCCTCAGTCTCCCAAATGTTGGGATTACAGGCATAGGATACATGCTTGAATCTCTAATCAGTTTTGAATTAATTTTCACAGAGGAACAAAGACAAAGATGACATTACACTTCTCATCGGAAGTAACATAAGTGAGAAAATTCTTTATAAAACACTAAAAGGAGATTCCTAAAGTTCTAAAACTGGCAGGGACACACTTAGAAACAAAGGAGTTTATCTGGCTAGAGTCCTCTAACAAGGTTGCCTATAATTCCTACCAAGCAAAATCCAACTCTACCATGTTGGTGTTTACCTAGGTCATGGGGCTCGGAGCATTTCATTCTATACTGTTGTGGGTGTCCTTTTGTCTCACACCTCTGGCCATTTTTTTTGGTTGAGTCCATTAGTGTCTTTAGCCATAACACAAGTGATGGAGTGGAAAAGAGAGTACTGTGCCTCCCAAATCCCCCATGAACCTGAGCTCAGAGACACATCCTTTAGCCCACATCTTCCTCTTCATACCTGTTCACACTCCAGTTTCATGGTATGTTCATCTCCGTGGACGTCCTGCACTTAGATAGGGTGGGTGCACTGATTAACTTCCCAGTGGCCACTCCTCCACCTCTTGCCTTCTCTCTGGGTTCATCCTAATTCAACTGTTTGGTATTCTCTCTCTATGTACTTCAGAAGAGGAGTCCCATGTGAAGGAATTCTGATCAGTGCAGATGATACAAGAAATTTTCCAAGGTTCTTCTAAGGAATGCTTTTGTAGATCTTAAACAAGGGATGAGTGGATAAAGAAATCATGGCACATATACACAATTGTGTATTAGTCATCCATAAAGAAGAGTGAAATTATGTCATTTGCAGGAAAATGGATGGAACAGGAGCTCATCATATTATGTGACAAGTCAGGCTCAGAAAGACTACTATCACATGTTTTCTGTCATATATGGAATCTAGGTTTAAAATACAAAAAAAACAGAGATATGAACGTAAAGGGAGACTATTTGGGAGAGGACTAGTGGGAGGATAAAAGAGGACAAAAGAGAGAGATGGTGGAGAATATGATCAAAGTACATTGTATACATGTTTGAAAATGTCAAACAAAACCCATTATTTTGTAAAATATAAAAGACAATAAAGTATAATGGAAATGTCACAAAAAGAGACATTTGGAAGTCATTGCCCAATGTCTGATGTTACCGGCTATATTGGAACTGAGGAAATGTAGGAAGGGTGGAAAGTTAGGAAAATACAGTCTTTGTTGCCCTAGTGAAACCATTAGAGCTCAGTTGGATAAAGTAGATCATTGAGACATACACTTAAACCAATCTTGGGACCATGACTCCATTCTCTCTCTCTCTCTCTCTCTCTCTCTCTCTCTCTCTCTCTCTCTCTCTCCCTGCCTCACCCCATAAAGTGATCAAATTTACACTGCCAAGTGATATTCACCATGATGTTTGGCCTTGGTGCTGCCAAAAGTTCAAAATAAATCTTTCCATCTTTTAAGTTTTTTAAATCTCAAGTATTTCCCCCCAC